GGTATTCCCGGTCCATCTGACCGAGGAACGGGGAAATACTCTGCCATCGGGATTTCTTCTTGCCCCGGCAGCCCCAAGAGCCTCAGCATCCCCCGGGCTGGCTGCAAGGACCGTGAGGGGTTGCTCTGAGGCTGCTCCGTGCGGGGATTCCAGTCCCGGCCGGATTTTTTCCCTGGAAGGGTCTCGGTTTGAGGGTGGGTGATGCCCTGGCTGGAAGGGAAGGATGGATCCGCGGGCAGCGAGGCTGGAATGGACATCTCCAGGAGAGGGGGCCCTTCAGCCGGCTGCAATCGGCAGGGAAACAGAAAATAAAGAAAAGGGGGGGAAATGCAGCAGAGGAGGAGCTGAGGGTGAAATCCCAGCGGAGTGAAGGATGGAAAATCGCCTGCCCGGCTGGTCGGCTCCGAGCTCGGAGCCCCCGAGGGATTCCGGCAGCGCGGGGCGATGAGAGGGGCGGCGGGGAAAGGGACGCGATCCTGCCGGGATCTACGAGACAGTGCAGGATCGCAGGCGGTGGCTGGGAACAGCCGAGTAAAGCCAGCGCGACAGCTCCCGGCTCATTCCAGCCCGGAGAATTCACCTTCCAGCCGGAAAAGCCCCGAAGGGAGCCGGCTTTGGCCGGTTCTGCGGCTCCCAGGGCTCCGGGGGCTCTGCGGGATGCGGGACGCTCTGCAGGGGGGTCCGTCTCCGACAGATCCCCCTCCACAAATGTCCCTCTTGGCAAAAAAATGTCCCGACAGCGGTAAAGCCCGGCGCTGCTCGGTGCCACCGGCGGAGCTGTGTCACAGGTGCCACCGGAGGGCGTTCGGGGACAGCAGTGCTCCAGAGAGTTAGGATCCTGCTCCCTCCATCCCAATCCTGCCTCCCGGGGTGCCTCTTCCCCCATGCCAACCCCAAATCCCTCTCGGGTGTGAAGAACAGCCTCATTTCAGGGCTCTCCTGGGCAGCCCTCGTTCCCGGGATGGTTTTAATTAAGGTGAGCAGGCTGGGGACGCTGGCTGTCAGCAGGTGGCTTTTCATACCCGGGGTGGGACACCCGCCCTCTGCCTGTGTCCCCCACCCTGACAGCACCAGCCCTGCTCTACCCACCCTGCTGGGGCTCAGGGAGATGATTTTAGGGGTGAGAGTGGGGCAGACAACTGGGACCTGTTGCTGTGGGGGGGACATGAGATCCTGTGCCTCTGTGTGACCCCAGCTCCCACTGCTATGCTGCCACCAGGGCCAGCCTTGGGGACACCCAGGGGACAGCCAGCCCCGAGTGCATCCCAGCTCTCCAGCCCACATCCTGCACAGTCTGAGGGGCATCCACCATCCCGGAGGCTTTTGGCTCACACTGCCAGTGCTCGTGGGAGCTGGTGGCCCCTGGTGCTCTCTTAGCCCATGGAAAATCCTGCCAGGGTGGGTGTGCAGCCAGGTTTGAGGGAATTCCTGGAATCCCAGAGCTTTTCCTGAGCAAGGCTTTGCGTGCAGGGAGGAGCTATCTCTCATCTCTGCTGTTCCCTTCTCAGCCTGGGGACAAACTCCATCCTTGCCCTCTTTCCTGCCCTCTGATTCACAGGTACCTTGTGCCTGCTATGGCACAGGGCAATCGATCAGCACAAACTCAGCCTCCTTCCCACCAGGAGGAGGGAGGGCAGGGTGGCAGGAGGGAAAAGGGTCCAGGTTGATTTGGGAGCACTGCTGGAGCAGAGCCATGTGCTGGGTTTAATGTGCCCAGCTCCTTTGGATCCAGCTCTGCTCCACCCACAGGTCCAAGCAGGATGGATTGGAGAACCAGCAGCTTCCTCACCCAACAGCTCCAGCACCCCAGCAGCTGCTCAGGGAGGCTGAGCAGAAATTTTTATTCCTCCCAAAAGGCAGAAACCAGTGTGGAGTTCTGTGCCTGTGGAGATGCAAAAAAAAAAGATGGTGTTGGGGGGTTTTCCTCTGTCACTAGTGCTGGGCACAAACAGCAAAAGTGAGACACAGACTTATTAATCCCCACGGGGAGATGACTCCTGATGACAGATCCCAAACAGCCAAAGGACAGAAATTAGAGATGCAGGGTTCACTTTTAATTGGGAAGGCTTTTGGGTGTTAGAGCAACTCCTCTCTTCCACCCAGGACAGTCACAAGTGGCTGTTCTGGCTCATTTTGGGGCCAGGGGCTGACTTCCCTAGAGAGGAGATGCCACCAGCCGAGTGCTGGCATCAGGCAGGTGTCCAGCCAGAGGGAGAAGCCTGTGTCTGCCCAGAGCTTTTCCTGCAGGAATGAGGGTGCTGGGAGCATTTGGAAGTGGTGCTGGAGCCCTGCTGCCATGGCTGGACTCATGACTCACTTTAAAACCAACCATAAAAGCAATTTTCCATGGAATGATCAAAGCTTCCCTGGCTTATCACCACCCCGATTCCAGTAACAAAACCGGGTGCTTGCAGACTGCCCGGGGAGTAATTGGAGGGCTTAATTGAGGAAGGTCATTAGGGGCAGGCAAAGATAGGGGAGCTGGAGCCTCTCACCTACTGTGAGTTGCTGAGGTTTTCACAGCAGCGATGGTGAAAAGGAGAGGTTCAGGCTGGATAACAGGGAAAGGCGCCTCGCCCAGAGGGTGGTGGGGCACTGAACAGGGATGGGCACTGCCCCAACAGCTCCAGGAGTGTTTGGATAATGCTCTGAGGCACAGGGTGGGATTGTTGAGGTGTCTGTACAGGGGCTGGATTGATGACCCTTGGGGTCCCTTCCAGCTCAGGAGATTCCATGCTGTGATTTTCTGGACTAGAGCAGGAAAGCTGGGGCCTCTCCTGGGGTCTGGCCTGTTGGAAAGGATGTCCAGGGAGTGGTGAACATGCAGGGGTTTCAGACCAAGGTCTCAGGGGTCCCTCCTGCCTTTGCAGAATGCCTGGAAAGTTCTTCCACAGCTCCAGGGGATGATTCCAACGGCATCAGGAGAGGGAGAGGTGCTAAATGTAGGCAGGGAGTTATAAATTGGCCGCTCTGCCTCACGCCTCATGAAGAGAAGGGAAGGATAATTTCTCTGCCCATTCCTCTCTTCTCCATCCTCTTCCCTTCCCCTGCTCCACCCTGACACAGAGGTGACTTCTTCAGCTCTCCAGGAATGGATCTTGGGTAGTCTTCCCACCAGCAAGAGGCTGGGAGTTGTCTGTACCACAGTTGTTAATATTAAGCTGCTTATCTGCCCCAGGGCTATAAAACTCTCATCTGCAAGGAGGGGGAAAGAAAATCCTTATGTTCTTTCTATCTGCTCCTGCTTATTGCAGCCTTATCAGCACACCCAGCCAGCCTTTGGGGCACAGGAGTCATGCAAAGTCTGCAGCAAAAGAGGCTGTGTCCCACAGCGGGGCCAGCATTGCGTGTCCCCACAGGGCCAAGTCCACCCCACGGGGACAGCATGGCACTGATGAGGCCCCAGCAATCTCACTGCTCTTCTGAGTCACCAGGTTAGGCACTGAGGTGCACCTCCAGTGGATGATATCCTCTTTCCCTGCAGCAGGAGAATGCTGGCTTTGGGATGTCCCTTGTGGGAAGAGGGTTTGGGATTTTGGTGCATTGATCTGTGGGATGTCCCTAGTGGGAAGTGGGTTTGGGATTTTGGTGCATTGATCTGTGGGATGTCCCTTGTGAGAAGTGCATTTTGGACTCTGATGCATTGACCTGTGTCCTTGTCATGGTGGAACAGTTATTTGGCTGGTGAACCTTGTGAGTTGTCCTAAAGCATCCTTCCACATTTTTTCCAACGCCTCTGGGAGCCTGCAGCAGGTTTGGACCTTCCCCTCCGGTGCTTTTCCCACAACATTGGGATCATGATGTTAAACGGGGAAGACAAAGTTGGTGTGATGCCAACAGCTGCTTGTGCAGGCTCAAAGAATTCGGGTGGCTCTGAGGCTGTGTCACCTCGGTGTTCCACCACAAACTGGTGACCAAGCAGGGCCTGGACACACAGAGTCACTGCTTTTCCCCCAGGCTGGTTTAGCAGGTCTGGACAAGCCAGGATCTCCCTGAATTCTTGGGCAATCCGCTTCCCCACTCTCTTCCCCACCACGCTTTCATCTCTGCCTCTTCTGGGAAGCTTTTGTGCAATGCCTGGTGAGTGATTGGCATTTGGACATGGCAGGAGCTCGGGGTCTGGGGCTGTGGGGGCAGAACCCTCTCCTGGGAATGGGTGCAGGACAGAGTGTGCTGAACCAGGGCTGTGCTTGTCGCTGTGTCATCGCTGCCAGGTGCTGGTGTTGGCTGGGGTGGCTTTGCGTGCAAAGCTGGGAAAAGGAGGCATCTGGCTCTGCTGGCACAGGCTGACTGGCAGCCAATGTAAACTCTTGGGTTTGAGCTGAAGCAATTCCTGGGTCTCATTCTCTTCCTGCCGTAAAAACACCTTTGTTCCAGCCCGGAACAGCAGCAGTTCTGCTTTCCCAGCAGCCAGGGCTGAAGGTGTCCTCCCTTGTGTCCTTCCTTGTCTCCTCCCTTGTGTCCTCCCTTGTCCTCCAGGGCCACTACCGACTGTGGTGGAGGAGGAGGATGAAGGCTCAAGTTGCTCCTGGGGAGGTTTAGATATTGGGAAAACTTCTTCACCGTGAAAGTGGTCAGTGGTGGAGTCACCATCCCTGGGGGTGTTAAAACATGTGGCACATGGGGACATGGGCTAGTGGCGGCCCTGGCACTGCTGGGCTTGACAATAATAAAGCCTTTTCCAACTTAAACAATCCTAAAATTCTGTAATTCTGAAACACCAATGGGGGCTGTGGGGTTATGGCATGGGTTGGCTGTCCTGTGTCCATCAGAGAGTGACTCCCAAAGGACACAGTCCAAGACTGGGTGTGGTGGAATAGCCAACATTTAATGGAATATCCAACACTAGAAACACCAGGAAAGAAAACGGGCAAAAACTGCTAGAAAACGAAGCAGATAAAGCAGAAGTCCCGATGGTTTCAGTTTATTCCATCACCCCCAAAGTCGTTCCAGACCCAGCTCTGCTGCCAGGACACCCTGGGGCTGTCTGCTCCCACCGCTCAGCTCCTGCCCTTCGTGGGGAAGCGCTGCCTGACCTGGAAGTGCTCACACCTCTTGTGCTTCAGGGACAGTCCATAGAGCGGGGTCATGTCCACCCTGCCGCCCTCGCAGACGCTGAACTCCAGCTGCTGGAGCAGCGTGGCCAGGAAGAGGAACACCTGCCACCTGGCAATGTTCTCCCCGATGCACCTCCTCTTCCCCAGGCCAAACAGCAGCACCTTCTCACCCTCCTCTTTGTTCACTTTGGTCCCGTCAGCGCTGAGGAAACGCTCGGGGTGGAAGGTGTCTGGGTCCTTCCAAAGCTTCCTGGAAGGGAGAACATCGGGTGTTGAGATGGTTTCTCCTGGTCATGGGTGTGGGGGGGACACTGGAAGGTGGGAACTGTCGGGAAGAACACGCCTGATGGTTTGCCACCATGGGAGGGGCCCTGTTTGTCACTGCAGGAGGGGACCTGTCTGTCAGCAGAGGAAAGGACCTGTTTGCCAGCACAGGAGGGTTTGTGCTTCACACGGTACTCACTCGTCATGGTTCACTTGCCACTGGTTGATGAACATGCAGCGATCCTTTGGGATGAAGTAGCCGTTCAACACCGTGTCCTTGGTGGTGCTGGGGAGAGAAAAGATGGAGAGTTGGGCAAGCCCAAAGGTTCTTCTGCATCCTCAGGGGAGTGTCAGGCTGCTCCTGAAGGGTGTGACCCAAAGGGGTGCTTTTGTGGGGACAGCTGTGTCCTCCACGAGCCGTAACATGGTGCCTCAAGGCCACCTTGTCTCTGAAACAGCTCTGCCAGCCCACCGCCATTCATCACTGTCACTTTTGTTGTGCTGAAGGGAACACAGGTGGAAAGAGAAGTGAGAGGAGATCCACAGCTCCTGACAAGTCAAAGCCCAGCGAGTCCTGCAGGGGTTTCATCTTCAAAGACCTATTTGTGCCCTTAGGACTGGCTAGGAAATACCCCAGATTGTATTCTGGAGGTTTAACAGTCTTGTTGAACCTCTTTCCTCCAGCAGAAAAATTCCAGTTTCACTTCACAGCTCATTCCAGATGAGTTGTGATGTGGTTCCTCCCAAGGCAGGAAGAAATATAAACCCAGGGGTGTTCTGCCAGCAAAGGTTTGTGGGGTGAAACCACCCTCAAAACAAAGGATTCAACCCCAGAAGGACAACAAGATGGAATATTTCCCCTTCACAGGGATCAACTCCCTTCCAAAAACCCCAAATGAGGTGTCAGCCACTCCAGCCCGTACCTGTGTGGGATGGTGAAGGGCAGGAAGGAGGAATGCCTGAACACCTCCAGGATGAAGGCTTCCGTGTAGGGCAGCGTGCCCCGGTCCGACAGCCGCGGCCGCCTCTCCCGCCCGATGGTCCGGTCTGGGGGAGTGGAGCAGGAAGAGGCTCAGGACCAGGGCTGAGCACAGAGCTCTTGGCCCCGGAGGGATGTGGGTCATGGACTCACCCAGCTCTTCCTGGATCTTCTTCTGGATGTTGGGGTTCGTCACAAGGTACATGAGGCTCCAGGACAGGGCTGTGGTCACGGTGTCGAAGCCTGGGCAAAGAGGATGGGGTGTGGGTGAGCTCAGCACAGCACCCACCCTGGCCTGCAGGCTGACCATCACACAGGGCAGTCTGGGCTGGCTGAGGAGGCAGGGGACGTCCTGGACATGCTGCAAGGCTTGGGGTTTTATTCTGTCATAATAAACTTTGCTAAAATATTCTGCTCTCTCAGCCTGTCCCGCTCCTGGTTTGTGTCAGGTTTGTACAGCTTCTCCAGAATTGGAGGAATTTCCACAGAAAGGTGAATCAGCCCACAGACATCTCCCTCAGCCAGGAAAAAACACTGGATTGTGAGGATCAGCTGAGCTATATAATCATGCCCTTCACTTTTCCTGAGCTGAGGTCCCAGATTGGTCTCTGGAGGTATCCCTGGAAGGTCCAGTGAGCAGGAGAGCGAGAGCTTAGACCCAAACCAGCTGCCTGGTGCGGGACAAGGAAGGATCAGACAGGAGGAGCTGGAGAAAACCTGAGATCATCTGCCAGAGCTGAGGAAAGGTGGGAAGATACCTGCTCCAAAAAGGTCATTCACGAGGTTGACGATCTTCTCCTTGGGGATCTGTGTGGCCGTGTTTGTTCCTATTTTTTTGTCCAGGCACTGCTCAATGAGGGAGTCCGTGATGTCCCGGATGTTGTTCTGAGAAGAAGAGGGGACAAGGTGATGGAGCAGGACTGCAGAGGGGTGGGTGCTCCTGGGCAGCCCCACCTGGTGCTGGGGGAACCTGGGGTCACATGAGCTCTGGGGAGCATCATCTCTTAGCTCCCGGGGTCCTTGTGTGGAAACAAGGAGAGGGTTCTCCAAGGAACCTGAGGTTCAGTCACCAGACTGGCCACACCACACAGGGAAGGGAGGAGATGCTGAGAGGCTCATGAAGGTGAGACCAGGGAGATTCAGGTGGGACATCAGGAAAAGGTTCTTCTCCCAGGGAGTGGTGGGGCTCTGCCCAGGCTCCCCAGGGAAAGGTCACGGTCCCAAGGCTGCCAGAGCTCCAGGATAGTTTGGACAACGCTGTCAGGGATGCTCAGGGTGGGATTGTTGGGGTGTGTGTGCAGGACTAGGAGATGGACTGGATGATCCATGTGTGAGCCAACTGAGGATATTCCATGATTCTACAATACCCAATGATTCTGTGAGAAGGAGGACTGGGGAGAGACAATGGCCATTGCTGCTTGGCTGCCAGAACACAAACACCTTGCTGATAGAGAGGGGAAGGAGAGCAAGTGAGGGTCCTGCAAGCTCTTACCTCGTCGTAGGTCTCGTAGTGCTCCTTGACCCTCTTCTGCAGGAAGCTGACCAAGTACCTGTTGAAATCTATGAACAGCTTCATGCGGCGGCTGGGCAGGTAGCGCAGCACGGGGATGAAGTCGGCGGGGTTGCCAGCAGCAGTTACATCAGTGAACTCCTCAGTGGAATTCACCAGGCTGAGCAGCTCCTGGTCCTCGTGCTCGTAGCGCTTGCCAAAGCACATGGCACAGATGACGTTGGCCACCGACACCACCAGGTACCGGTAGGGCTCAAACCTCTTGTCCTCCTCCATCAGCTGCAGGAACTTGGCGACCAGGTACTCGGCCTTGTCTGTCTCCTACCTGGTTGGTTTTAGGCTCCCAACAGGGATTGGCACTGGGAGCAAGGGGGAATCCTCCTCTGTCTCCTCAACCTTCTTCTTCTGTCACCTCGTTCTCCTCTACCTGATTCTTCTCCTGCCACCTGGATGTCCACGGCTGTCAAAGCTCTCCCTTCACTGCACCACTGGGTATTTATCTCCCCCCTCCTGCTGCGAACGCACTTGGGAATAGCTACCCATTAACGAACGGGGCTGATCCTGGCTGGAGCCTGCCCAAGAAGCCAGGGAAGAGCCTTTCTCCCCTCCAGCAGGCTCTGGGCCATGAATGGTGACTTCACCTGGTCAGGGCCATGGAGCCTGCTGTGGGAGGCAGAAGGGGGTCCCCAGGACAGGGAGAAAGAAGGGGGTCCCTAAAGACTGCCTTGGGGAGGACGTAGGACGTTGGCAGCATTGCTTGCCTACGGAATGTGGGTGCCAGGCATTTCCCCAAAAAAACTTTTCTGGGCTGGCCAGACTGTTCCCAGCTGCCAGAGAGCTGTCACCTCCATGGCCATTCTGGAGGTGCTGGGAGCTGCAGGCTGTGAGCGAGGGGACACGTTTGTGACAAGGCATCTACAGCCATCCTCATCCATCCCTGGGGAACCGTCGGGCAGGTGCCCTGTCCCGGGAGCGGTGGCGGCGGGATCATCCGGGCCAGCGGCAGAGCCAGGCTCAGGTTAACGATTGGCCAGGTTTGCGTGAGAAGGCGGCTGGCTCGCTTCCCCTGGCTCCTCCGGGGCAAACAGGCAGCGAGGAGGAGGAGGAGGAGGAGTGGCGGGGCAGAGGGGAGGAGGTGAGCCCGGCAGATAGGAGAGGTGAAGGGGCAGCACGGGGCAAGGCTGGGGCAGTTCATCCCTCCAAAACATTGGGTGACACCCGACAGGGAAATGCTCGAGCCAACGGGGCTGCTTCTCCAGGCGGGGCAAAATTCAGGGCAGTTTGGGAAGTGCAGCTGGGATGAGCAGGAATGAGCCGAGTTTGGGGGTTTGGCCCAAAGTTTCCTTCAATCTTCGAAAATTCCGGGGGGAATTTGGCCCAGGTAAAAGCTGAGCTAATATTTAATAAAGGCTTTCAACATCTGGTCTAATAGGGCTCGTTAATAACAATGACGCCGTTCATTAATGTTTGGCAAGTGCAATTACAAAACTCCGGCTGCTAATATTCCTGCTGATAATTCCCGGGAATGCCGCAGCCCTCCCGGCCCCGGCAGGACCCTTGGGAACGCTTTTGGGGAGGCAGGCTGCAGGAGCAGGGTTTGTGCGGCGGGCTGCATCCTCCCATCCCTATGGATCTACCCGAACCCATTGCATGGGGTAGGGTTGGGGCTGGGGGGGCTGAGTGACCCCCAGCAGCATTTCAGACCTTGTGCTGATGCTGAACCCACCCACTCCTCATCCATCGCATCCCAAAGCTCTGGAGAAGTTGGGGAGAGTCCCGGAGAGGTTCCCCAGGACCCTCTTCCACCCCGTCCCAGCTCTCCCCCGTAGCTGCCAAGCCTTGCGAGGGCAGAGTGCCTCCTGATGAGAGCAGCTTTAAGAGCTGCTGCCTTGCGTGCCAGGCAGCCTCACACCCCCAAAACACCCTCAGCCCCGGCCGCCGCCCCTCGCTGAGCCCGTGGATCCCCGGAGCTGCCTGGGGCAGCCGCGGGGACGCTGCCAGCCCCCTGTCCCTGCCGGGTGTCGCTGTCCCCTCCGTGGGTCACCACCCCCCGGGATCGGGCTGTGCGTGCAGGGACAGGGGGAGCGGCAGGGTGACGGTGCCCGCAGGCACGTGTGGCACGGCATGCGTGGCACGAGCACGCGCCCACGCACGAGGGGCACGGAGCTGTGCGGGACACGGAGGGGGCTGGCAGCCCCGAGCCTGTCCCCGCACACCGATGGGCTCCGTGCGTGCAGGGCGCGTGTGCGGGGACAGGTGTGCGGGGACACGGCGTGGGCGCTCGCACACGAGCGGGAGGGACGCGGGGGCACTCGGACAGACACACAGAGCGTTGTGCCCGGTGTTGTACGAGGTGCCAGAGCCATCCCCTGACGAGTGTCCGGAGCCGTGGAGCACCTTTGTGACATTCGTGGTCAGCAGCCCCGCAGCGCGGGGCGCCTCTCGGTGTCGCCTGGAGCTATGAGGGGACATTTCAGGTGGCACTCCCCTCTCTCCCTCTTCTCGTGGCTGGAAAGGGCTGGGATGGCAGTGTCCCATCGAGGGGACACAAATTACAGGGGCAGTGCCGTCCCCTCGCAGGTGATGCAGCATCCTGCGGCAGAGGGCACCCCTGTTGACACCGATGATTGTCCCCAATGTTGGGACCCCCCACAAGCTCGCCAGCCCGCAGCCAGCCGTGGGGGGAGCTGCTCCTCAGCTGCTCCGGCGCCGCCTTGACCCCGGGCCAGGCTCCTGGACGGGAGGCCACCGCCCTGGTCCTTTAAAAACCATTTCCCCCCCCACCCACCCATAGCGTGACTGCGAGTGACCAGCACGGCCCTCCCGGGTCTGGCCAGAGCCCCTTCGCACGCGATGTCCCTAATGCCACCTCTGGGACCCCTCGGCGGGGCGGACCCCCTGGCCTATCTCCCACCTCGTGGCGGCTGGGCTGGGAACGAGGATTGCGGGCGGAAGGGACAGATTTTGGGAGCGGGCTGCTCCCCCTTGTCCTCCCTGCAGGGCAGGACCTGGCCTGTCACCCCGCGGGGAGCGGGGGTGCAAACTCTGCCCGAGCTCCCCTTCTGACCCGAACACCCGCCCCTCCCTCCGGCTGCACCCTGTGCCCCATCCCAACCCCACCTCGCCCCTCGGGTGGCCCTGTCCCCAGGGGACAGAGGTGACACAGGGCACGACGGCTTCTCACGCGAACCTGGACAATCTTTAACCGGGCCGGGGCAGCCAGGGCCGTGACCCCCCCGGTCTGCCCCGCCGCCCACGTCCCCGCGGGGTCCCTGTGGAGCTGTGGGGTGGTCCCGCAGTGCGAGGTGGGGGGAGACGCACGGAGCCGGTGGCCGCCGCTCTGCTCACGGGGCACACGGGCGGCGGGACGGGCACGGCCCCGCGGTGGTGCGCGATCGCTGAACCCCTCGGTGGGCGGTCCGCCCTCATCCCCGCGTGTTCGCGGAGCCCCGAGGGGGCCTGAATCCCTCAACCCCCCCCCNNNNCCCCCACCCCCGGCCCGCACGCCGCTGCCCGGGGCGTTTTCCCACGCTGCCGCTGTCCCCGCGGCTCCGGACACCGCGGATGTCCCGGGGCTGCGGGCAGCGGGGCGGGGGGCGCGGCCGTGGCTGTACGGAACCCTCTGGGTCTGGGGGTGAGCAGGGCAGCCGGGCCGGCCCCCGGTGGGGGGGTCCTGGGGAAGAGCGGGGCTCGGGACCGGCGCCTTTAAGATCCTGCCTGTAGCGTGACTGGAGTGACCGGAGCGGTGCGGGTTTGCCCAAACATCCCGCCCTCTTCGCACGCGATGCCCGCCCCGGGTTGGAACCCACGGGCGGCACCGACACCCCCCCACCCCCGCACCCCACGCCACGACTTATCGGGACCCCCTTCCCTTCCCTGACAGTCCCCCCGCCCGCCTCGCAGCCTCCCCCCCGGGGATACGCGGGGAGCGGGGGTCCCGCACCCCACGCGTGGGGGGAACCCCGGGGATGGGGGGGGCGTGGGGGGGTCCGGGGAGTTCTTGGGGAGTTGGGGGTCACGTGACAGGAGGCGGCCTGGCCAATCAGCTCGCGGGGCGATGCATATAAAGCAGGAGCCGCGGGCAGCGGGCACCTGTCGCGGGATCGCCCCTCCCGCCGCTCCGCACCGCTCCTGCCGAGGTGAGTACCGGAGAGCCCGGACCGCCATGGACGGGGGCTGGGGGGCTCTTCCAGCACCCCCGGGTGATGGACAGCCCCGCCGTGGGCTGTGCTGCTTTTCCGACCGCAGCAGCATCCTCTCTCCACCTGCTGGAAGGAGGTTTTGGGGGGACCTGGCGGTAATGCTCCCCTCGCGGGTCCTGCGCTGCCAAGGGCTGCGAAGGGGTCCCGGCTGGGCGGCACCGGCTGCTTGCAAGGTCCCCGGAGCCCCCCTGAATCTCCCCCGCAGATGTCCCGTGGGTGGCTGTGGCACCCTGCCAAACCCGAGGGAAGGGGGGATTTGACAGTCAATCTCCTCCCAGCCCTGCTCGGGGCTTTCAGAAGGATTTCTTCCCCTGAGGAGCTGGGAGCTGGGCTTGGTGATCCTTAGGAGTCCCTTCTAACTCGGGGGACTCAATGATTCCATGGTTTCTGACAGAGCTGGGAGTGGGGTGCACCCATCCCGCTGGCCCCTGCTGTAGGCAGGGTTATTTTTCCACACCATGGATCTCAGGGACGATTCCTGGCACTGCTGTGTTTCATGTGCTGGTGAGTGGTGGCAGCTCGGTGATCCTCAAATCGGGATCAGCTCTCCTCTAGCCAAGAGCTCTGGAAAAAAACTTCGAGGAGAAAAAAAAAATCCTGTGGTTAAGAGAGCACCTTTGCTTCCCTGGCACGTAGACAAAAAGTTGGGGGACCCATTCCTTCCACTTCTGGCCAGCAAAACCCCGGTTTTTAGTGTGAGTAGTTTCCTAAAGCGTGACAACTGTGGATCACAAGGGAAGCCCAGCTCTGCTCCTCTCCTGTCCTGTGCTGTCACAGCTCCAAGTGTCTCAGCCCAGAGACCAGGCCCAGCCCCTAACCCATCTTTGGTTTACTCCTGAGGATCTGCTATGGGAAAAGGGGTGCCACAAAGTCTCTGATGGGTTGAGGTCAGATTGTGTGTTTTGGTAGGTGTTGAACATGGATATAGGACCAGGAAGATCATACTTGGATGCCCCTGCTCACCCAGTGAGCTGTGTGTTCCCACAGAGCAGCCCTGTGACATCCCCAGGTCCCCCAGTATTGTGGCCAGCAGGTCCATCCTCCTGGCTGTGACTCCTGATGGGTTTGGTGGTGCTGGAAGCACATTGATGGAGGAGCTGCTGATCCTGTGCTCCTGCTTCCCTGGGATTTGCTGAGCTGCAGTTTTCCATGCCTTGTTTTCAACATTGTCTTCCGTGGGCAGGAGCCACTGCTGTGCCAGTGGGGGTTTGGGGTTTCTGTGAGGAAAGGGGTGCTGCAAAGTCTCTGACGGGTTGAGGTCCCCCTGAAGGGATGGATGGGTGTGTTGGGAGCACTCACAAGTCTCCAGGCTGTGCCGCTGGCAACCCGCAGTGCTGCAGGGGCAGCTCCATGCCCCGAGCTGCTGAAGGGCTGTCACTCCCTGTCCCTGTGTCTGTCAGGAACACCTCCAGGAGTCTCAGCCCAGAGAGCAGCCCCAGCTCCTAAGGCATCTTTGCTTTATTCCTGAGGGTTCTGCATGCCAGCCTAGGGATCTGCTGCGGGAAAGGGGGTGCTGCAAAGTCTCTGACGGGTTGAGGTCCCCCTTAAAGGATGGCTCGCCCCATCCCCCGAGGTGCTGAAGGGCTGTGGCTCGCTGTCCCTGTCAGGGACAGCCGCAGCGCTGAGCCCCTGGCTGCTGCCGGCTGTTGCCCTGAGCGCGCTCCCTTCCTTCAGGGCTGCCCGGTGCCGGCGGTGACACTGCAAGCTGCCATGTGGCCGGCGGCTCTCCCCGGCGTGGTGCCGGCCAGCGAGGTGCTGCTGGTGGCCGCGGTGTTCTGCCTGGTGTTCCTGCTGCTGCAGCGGCTGCAGCCGGCCGTGCCCGCGGGGCTGCGGCGGCCGCCGGGCCCGCGGGGCTATCCCGTGCTGGGGAACGTGCTGGAGCTGCGCGGGGACACGCACCTGGCGCTGACGCGGCTGAGCCGGCGCTACGGGGACGTGATGGAGGTGCGCATCGGCACGCGGCCCGTGCTGGTGCTCAGCGGGCTGGACACCATCCGGCAAGCCCTGGTCAAGCAAGGAGACGACTTCATGGGGAGACCCGACCTGCCGAGCTTCCGTTACGTCTCCAACGGGCAGAGCCTGGCGTTCAGCCCCGACTCCGGGGAGGTGTGGAAAGCGCGCAGGAAGCTGGCCCAGAGCGCCCTGAAGAGCTTCTCCATCGCCCCCAGCCCCACTTCGTCCTGCAGCTGCCTGCTGGAGGAGCACGTCTCCAAGGAGGCCGAGTACCTGGTCGCCAAGTTCCTGCAGCTGATGGAGGAGGACAAGAGGTTCGACCTTAACCAGTACCTGTCGGTGTCGGTGGCCAACGTCATCTGTGCCATGTGCTTTGGCAAGCGCTACGAGCACGAGGACCACGAGCTGCTCAGCCTGGTGAACCTGGGCAACGAATTTGGGGAGGTGACCGGGAACGGTCACCCTGCCGACTTCATCCCCATGCTGCGCTACCTGCCCAGCCGCGCCATGGAGGTCTTCAAGGACATCAACCGGCGCTTGAACACCTTCGTGCAGAAAATTGTGCAGGAGCACTACAGCAGCTTTGATAAGGTAAGGGCTTGGATGCTCCTGGATGGGGGTGGAGATGCCCGCACATGTCCCCTGCTGCTGGTTTTTGGCTTCCTTTCTCTGCCTCTTTTGAGGTTGGGATTGAAGGCTATTGAAATGATAGTTCACCTTCACGCTCAGGTATTTATTATTATAAATATTTATGTTACAGTTTCACTGCAGTGAGTTCTGCAGTCTTTCAGTAACAAGGCACAAAATGGCTAAGTATCTCTTGTTACAAGGTCTTTTAAGGCTAAACTATCCAATTAAGAAACGACACCTAATTACAAAATTGCCAATTACAAAATACCACCCAAACCCAGGAAGAAGGTAGAGAAGAACAACCAACCTCCGCCCTAAAACCTCCACTTGCTCTCTATATATTACCATGTTCTAAAACCCCAAACTCTGTTTTCTACCCTGTGATGTTACACACTTGTAATCAACTACACACCCATAATCCCAGGGCTGTCAATCAATTTTGGAAGTTTCTCCACAGCGCCAGGTCAAATGCAGTGCTCTCCTGAGAGTCAGAGTCTGTCAGCACACAAAGTCTAAAATTCTCAGTATCCAGAACTCCCTGCCACACCCAGTATAGCCCCTTGGAGCCTCTGAGCTGCAGTGATTCCCTCCCCGAGCCATTTGAAGCAGGTTTCCCCATCCCTGTGTGTCCATGGTGTCCCTGAGCCACCAGCTCCTGAAAGGTGCCTGTGCTCAGCTTGGGCTGGGCTATCTCTCCGGGCAGCACTGACAGAACCGCAGGACACACTCTCAAGCTGCACCAAGGGAAATTTAGGTTGAATATCAGGAAAAAGTTTTTCACAGAAAGGGTGATAAAGTTCTAGAGTGTTCTGCCTGGGGAGGTGGTGCAGTCCCCATCCCTGGGTGTGTTTAACAAAGCCTGGATGTGGCACTGGGTGCCAGGGTTCAGTTGAGGTGTTGGGGCTGGGTTGGACTCGATGGTCTTGAAGGTTTCTTCCAATCTCATCATTCTGTGTTTCTGTGAATTCTTCCCCAGGAGCACATCCGGGACATCACGGACTCGCTGATCGGGCACTGCCAGGAGAACACTGTCGGGGAGGACGCCCGCGTCCATCTCTCCGACGAGAAGATCATCCACATCGTCAACGACCTCTTTGGGGCAGGTGGGAATGTTTCTGAGGGCACCATTGGATCTTTGGGATGAATCCCAAAGCTGGAGGCTGGGTGGGGACGTGGAGCTGCTGGGCGGACCCGTTGGCCGCCTTTGGGTGTGTGGAGCTGCTGTTGGGTGCCCTCCTGAGCACTTTTTGGTGGCAGCTGATAGGGGAACAAACATCTGGAGTGGTGGAATCTAAAACACCCACTCACCTCTGCTCTTGTGGTCACTAAATGCCTCCTCCACGCCCATCCAGGCTTTGACACTGTGACCACAGCCCTGTCCTGGAGCCTCATGTACGCTGCCTTGTACCCCGACATCCAGAAGAAGATCCAGGAAGAGCTGGGTGAGTCCATGACCCACATCCCTCCGGGGCCAAGAGCTCTGTGCTCAGCCCTGGTCCTGAGCCTCTTCCTGCTCCACTCCCCCAGACCGGACCATCGGGCGGGAGAGGCGGCCGCGGCTGTCGGACCGGGGCACGCTGCCCTACACGGAAGCCTTCATCCTGGAGGTGTTCAGGCATTCCTCCTTCCTGCCCTTCACCATCCCACACAGGTACGGGCTGGAATGGCTGACACCTCATTTGGGGGTTTTGGAGGGGAGTTGATCCCTGTGAAGGGGAAATATTCCATCTTGTTGTCCTTCTGGGGTTGAATCCTTTGTTTTGAGGGTGGTTTCACCCCACAAACCTTTGCTGGCAGAACACCCCTGGGTTTATATTTCTTCCTGCCTTGGGAGGAACCACATCACAACTCATCTGGAATGAGCTGTGAAGTGAAACTGGAATTTTTCTGCTGGAGGAAAGAGGTTCAACAAGACTGTTAAACCTCCAGAATACAATCTGGGGTATTTCCTAGCCAGTCCTAAGGGCACAAATAGGTCTTTGAAGATGAAACCCCTGCAGGACTCGCTGGGCTTTGACTTGTCAGGAGCTGTGGATCTCCTCTCACTTCTCTTTCCACCTGTGTTCCCTTCAGCACCACAAAAGCGACAGTGCTGAATGGCTACTACATCCCCAAGGACACCTGTGTGTTCATCAACCAGTGGCAAGTGAACCACGATGAGTGAGTATCCCAAACCCCCCCTGCTCATCCAGGCTGCTGTGGCTGCTCTTGCCGTTCTGATCACGCCCATCCTCATGCCAGAAAATTACTGGGTCATGTACGAAAGGGCAGATTGGACCAAAAATGGTGTGGGTTTGATGCTGAGCCCAGCCTTGACTCTGCTGGGCATGGAGCTGGTCCAGCTTGACTTGGCCCCCAGTCCAGCAGCTCCCCAGCACCGGGGATTACCTAATTGGTGTGCTGCTCAGGCTGCTGGATAGTCAGGAATCAGAAAATCCTGCTGCCCAGCAGATCCTGTGATCTGAGCTGACAGCTCTGGGTGTGCTCAATGGGAATTGCTCACTCCCCTTTTTAAGGGAGAAAAATGTGGTGACGTGACTCTGTTAAAGTCGGTGGGCTCGTGTTGTGGTTGCTGATAATCAGCTTTGGGAATGATGGGGGGACTGGGAAGCAGAGCCCCTTCCTGCCCCTCCACTGCTTCCCAGAAGAGACATTCCAGCAGAGATTCAGCTAAGGCTTGATACAGGAGGGGGTTCCCAGAGGTGGTGTTTTGGATGTTTGTATCCAAACACCTCAAGAGACCAGAAACCTTCTGATAGCCCTCCTGTTCCTGCATGAGCATGGGATGGGAGTGCTGTCCTTAGGGCAGAGGGGATTCCATGTATCCCAGCAGAAATTCCCAGCTGAGACACTGTTAAATCCTACCTGGCACCTCCCAGCAGCTGCAATGGGACAGTCTGGGCAGCTCTGCTGAGAGGATTCAAAACAAGAAACCCACCCTGGTCCCCATTTTCCCTGTTTGAAGGGCTGCTGGCTGATCCCCGTGCTGAAGCTGCAGGTTCTCTGGCTGCTGGGATTAAATGGGTGGAATCAAATCCATCTCTGGTGTCTGGCCAGGCAAACACAGCCCGAGCCTGAAAGAGGGTTTCAATGGGCTGAGCTGATGGAGTCTGACATGAGTTGGTGCTGGAGATCAGGGCCAGAGCTTGCCAAGGGTGGGTTTGGGTGGTGGAGTCAGACAGTGCTGCAAAACTCCTCTCTGCAAGGAGGGGTTTGGCCACTGACCCCATTGCAGGCGGTCAGGCTGTCACAATGCCCAAGGGCTGGAACCCTCTGCTCTGGAGCTGGGATCTGGGACACCTCAGAGCCCCTTCCAGGGCCTAAAGGGGCTCCTGGAGAGCTGGAGAGGAAATAGGGACAAGGCATGGAAGGACAGGACACAGGGAATGGCTTCCCACTGCCAGAGGGCAGGGATGGATGGGAGATTGGGAATAAGGAATTCCTCCCTGGGAGCGTGGGGAGGCCCTGGCACAGGAGAAGCTGTGGCTGCCCCTGGATCCCTGGCAGTGCCCAAGGCCAGGCTGGATGATGATATATGGTCTCTTCGAGCCAGGTCTCAAAGCTCTTGGAGATCTATATCACATCCAAGATAGCTCAGCTACCTCAGAAGGCATAAAATCAGCAGGATGGCTTCTGTGGTAGTGTTGGAAACAGAAAAGTTTTAATAAAAGGCAAAAACAAGAGGAAAAACCAAGCCATGTGCAAGAGGCTCCTGGTAAAACACCTCACAAAAGCCATTAGTTTCTTGGTTCTCTTCTTTTTCTAGTAAATTACTCAGGCTGGACTTTTTGGCTCCTGTCCAGTTAGCTGTCCTTAAGTTTGAGATGAAGTCCCTCAGGTCTTCTTTGCTAATTGAGGAAAGAAACTTCTGGGCTTTTTTCCTTTTTAAAAAGGAGACAAAGGATGGTTGGTCACTCCGTCAACAGAGGGCACATTCCTATGGCTGGACAGGACTCGGAGTACCCTGGGATGGTGGAAGGTGTCCCTGCCACGGCAGGGGGTGGCAGTGGACGAGCTGTTATGTGACCCTGTGACCAAAGCCTCAGGAGTGTCCCCTCTGTGTCCTAGTGTGAAAAATGCATATTTTATGACTGGCTTTTTGCAAATATTAAAATGAATATTGTACGTGTTATGTTAGAAAGTTATGCTGTATTAATTTCCTTAAGTAGTGTGTTAAATATAGGTCTAGGTTATAGCATAATGTTAAAATAGAAACTATGCTAGGTAAGGCACTTTTTTCTAAAGAAAGGACACGCACTGAGATAGCAGCCACAGGACACCTAAATCTTTCAGAGAAAGGGAATTTATTGCTCCATTTATCAGGAGAAAACTAACTTCTTCCTGCCTCACTCAGCTGTTAGGATTCAGAGGAAGAAGTTGACACTGACCAGACAGAATCCTGTGTTTGAATGGAATTTATGCATCATGTATGATGTGTATGAACATGCAACAGGCTGTCGTTTTTAAGGGTTAATCCTCTGTTAACGTGGGTCCTTTTTTGGGCTTATTTTGCCCAGAAAAAGGTGCCCGGACGTCCGCAACTCTTTGTTTTAATTGTCTTGCGCTGTCCTACTCTCAATTGTTCAAATTTTATTACTCTAATTACATTACTAGTTTTATAACAATTATTTTGCCGTTCAACATTTAAAAATTCTGCAACCAAGCTCTGGGCGCTCCTCACACGCAGGACGCTGTGGAAGGAGCCCTCAGCCTTCAGGCCCGAGCGGTTCCTGAGCGCGGCGGGGACGGAGCTGAGCCGCACCGAGAGCGAGAAGGTGCTGGTCTTCGGGCTGGGCAGGCGCCGCTGCATCGGGGAGACCATCGGCCGCTGGGAGATCTTCCTCTTCCTCACCACGCTGCTGCAGCAGCTGCACTTCAGCCTGCGGCCCGGGGAGCACGTGGACATCACCCCCCAGTACGGGCTGACCATGAAGTACAAGAAGTGCGAGCCTTTCCAGATCCGGCAGCGGTTTCCCGTCGGGAGCTCTCTGTGAGCGGCTGGAGGGGCTTGGAGCTCGGCCCCTCGCTGCTCTGCTGGAGGATGGTTCCTCTCCCGGGGGTGGCAGCTCTTCCTTCCCACGTGGATGTTCCCCAGAGGTGTCTTGGAGGGAGCCAGCCTGTGGTGGGGGCGGGGTGCTGGAGGGTGGGGTGTGATGTCCTCCACCCGCCACGGGCAGCTCCCTCCATCCAAACACAAACAAACCTGCTGGTTCCTCTCAGGTGACCCTGCCCAGCCTTATCCCACGGGGTGGAATCCTCTTTTCCAGCTCCTTGCGCCACTGGGAATGGATCCTTCCTGCTGCTTCAGAAAGGTTCTGGAGCCTTCAGCAGCGCCCACCTCTAGGGGACCCATCCTGGGCGCACCCACGCACCTAAATTCCTTGAATGTAAACTCCTGGAGTGAATTCCTGAGTGTTCCTACTGATTAAAAAAAAAATAAAAAAATCCATCACCTGCTGAGCCTCTCACAAATTGAGATTTTAAATTACCTCCTGGAAAATCTCCAAGGGCTGGGAGAAAGGCACAGAGAACTGTAGGACACTCCTGGCTTTCACACTAACTCTGCACTTGCTGCCTTTTTTTAATATCAGGGGTTTTTTCCTTTATCAAGCAATAGATTTCTGTGTCCAGGTTAAGGAGCAAGGCTTTCAGGATTGCAGGAGGGGCCTTTTGCTGCGTTCAGCTGTAGCCAGCAGGAAGGTGGAGCCTCGTGGCAAACGGAGCAGCAATTCCTGCCTCTTTGTGCCTGCTTGGGATGCAGTCCTGTGCTGGGATGGAAACCACACCATATTTCTAACCCAACAAATACTTACATGAATATCTCTCGAGTCTCTTTCTCACCTTATTCCACTGGGAAATTATTTTTTTGCGGGGGAAAAACACCCTACGCCCCTCTATCATTCCTAGAAATCTGAGTTGGTGTGTTGGATTGGGGTTTTTCCTGTGGGAAATGAGTGGGCTGTACTCCAGTGGCATTGGGGGAAGTTTTTAATCCCAAAGGGGGCTGATCCTGGTCTTTCTCCTGTGTAAAGGCAGAAAGGTGCTGCCAAGCTCTGGATCAGTTCAGGGCTTCACTAAAAATCGGGAGGAGCTTTCTATCCCTGAAAACCTGGAATCACTAGGTCAAACCCAGCCTTTCAGGGAGCCATCCCTGGGGGGTGTTTCATCCCCGTCTCAGAGCACCATTGAATCTGAAGATTTGGGCAAGTTCCCTTAAAAAACAAACAAAAAAAGGCAGTGAACGTGAATTTCCCGTGGAACTGAGAAGGGGCTCTGTGGGAAGCTGGGGTCTGTTCATCCCTGCAGGGATCAGCCCCCAGAGCTCCCAGCCCCAGCGGAGCGCGGCGTTGTTGGTGATTTGGGCGTGGTGGCGTGGAACGGCGCTGCGGAGGAGAGGAGCCTTGAGAGGGGACCGGGGGGATGGAAAGGTGACAGAGGTGTGACAGAGATGGAAGGGATGGAGGGATGGAGGGATGGAGATGATGGACAGGATGGAGGGATGGTGTGATGGAGGGATGGAGCTGATAGAGGAAGGGAATGGAAGGGATGGAAATGTGACAGAGGTGATAGAGGCGTGATGGATGTGGGATGGATGGACATGGAAGGGATGGTATGATGGAGATGATGGAGGGATGGAGATGATGAAGGGGATGGAAGGAATGGAAGGGATGAAAAGGTGATAGAGTTGTGATGGATATGGGAGGGATGGAGATGGAAGGATGGAGATGATGGACAGGGTGGAGATGATGGAGGGATGGACACGAGGGAGGGATGGAGATGATGGAAGGATGGTGTGATGGATATGATGGAGGGATGCAGGGATGGAGGGACAGGTGTGTGACACAGGTGTGTGACACAGGTGTGTGACAGGTGTGTGACACGGGTGTGACAGGTGTGTGACACAGATGTGTGACCCAGGTGTGTGACAGGTGTGTGACACAGGTGTGTGACCCAGGTGTGTGACACAGGTGTGACACAGGTGTATGACACAGGTGTGTGACAGGTGTGTGACAGGTGTGACACAGATGTGTGACCCAGGTGTGACCCAGGTGTGTGACAGGTGTGTGACAGCTGCCGGAGGGCTCCTGGCGCGGGCACTGCGCATGCGCACAGCGCGGCTCCCACGCCGTCTCTATGGCCCCGCCGGCGGCCGGAGCGCCGCGCGGGGGGCGGGGCCGGAAGTGGCGTCACGCCGAGCGTCTCTGAGGCGGAGGGGCCGCGGTGAGGCGGGAGCGGCGGCGGCGGCGGGTGAGGGGCATGGCGGCACGGCCCGGCGGGGGCGGGCTGGGTGCCACGGTGCCTTCCCGGGGGGCTGGGGCTCTGCTGGACTGCCGTGAGGCGCTGTGGCGGCGCCAGGCCCTGCCCGGCCCGAGCGGGCCGTGGTGGGGAGGTGGGGCCGGGGGAGGCACGGGGCGGGAGGCCTGTGGGGCGGCTGTGGCTTACAAAGGGTTAAACTGTGTTTGAGTCCCGTGCTTGCTCGAGGTTGCTGTGTTTACATTTGGGGGGCCATGTTTGCCTGTGGGGGGCCCCTGTTTCTATATGAGGCTCCCTGTGTTTATCTCTGTGGGAGGCTGTGTTTGCTTCTGGGGGGGTCTTGTGTTTTGGGGGGCCCTGTGTTTATCCGTGGGGGTTCCCTGTGTTCTTCCATGGGGTATCCTTGTGCTTATTTTTGGGGGTTCCCTGTGTTCATCCAAAGAAGGCTCCCTGTGTTTATCCATGGGGGTGTTCCCTGTGTTTATTTTTGGGGGGTTCCCTGTGTTTATCCATGGGGTTCCCCTCTGTTTATCCGTGACGGGTTCCCTGTGTTTACCCATGGGATAACCCTGTGTTTATTTTGGGGGGTTCCCTGTGTTTATTTTTGGGGGTTCCCTGTGTTCATCCAAAGAAGGTTCCCTGTATTTATCCATGGGGTGTTCCCTGTGTTTATCCATGGGATATCCCTGTGTTTATTTTTTGGGATGTTCCCTGTGTTTAGTTTTGGGGGGTTTCCCGCATTCATCCATTGGGGGGGGTGGTCTGTGTTTATTTTTGGGGGTTCCCCATGTTTAGCCATGGCAGGGGTCTGTGTTTATTTTTGGGGGGTTCCCTGTGTTTTTCCATGGGGTTCCCCTCTCTTTATCCATGAAGGGCTCCATGTGTTTACCCATGGGGTATCCCTGTGTTTATTTTTGGGGGGTTCCCTGTGTTTTTCCATGGGGGGGGGGGTCTGCTCTGTTTATCCATGGGGTATCCCTGTATTTATTTTGGGAGGTTCCCTGTGTTTATTTTTGGGGCTTCCCCGTGTTTATCCATGGTGGGGGGGGTTCTCTGTTTATCCATGGGATTCCCCATGTTTATCCATGAGGGTTCCCTGAGTTCATACATGGGAGGTGTCTGTGTTTATTTTTGGGGGGTCCCCTGTGTTTATCTGTGGGGAGTTCCCTGTGTTTACCCATGGGATAACCCTGTGTTTATTTTTGGGGGGTCCCCTGTGTTTATCCGTGGGGAGTTCCCTCTGTTTATCCATGAAGGGTTCCCTGTGTTTGTTTTTGGGGGTTCCCTGTGTTTATTTTTGGGGGTTCCCCGTGTTTATCCATGGGGGATCCCCTTTTTCACCTTGGGGGTTCTCCTTTTTACCTTGTGGGGCCCCTGTGTTTACCTGTGGGGCTGTGGTTGGTCCACTTATTTAAAATATTTACAATATTTGGGATCCCTGTGTTTTCCTGTGGGGTTCCCTATATTTTCCTGCAGGGACACAGCCACCCCCCTAATCCAACCCAGGATAGTTTCATTTCTATTTGCACTCAAACACAGATTTATTGTTGGGTGGTTTTCTGCTAAAAGGAGGCTCTTGTTGTTCAGAAGGATCCCTGTAAGGTGATGATGTGTGCTGAGCTCCTTCCCATGTTTCCTGAGGGAGATTAAAAAGAAAACAGGGAAGGGAATGAAGCTTTAGCTTTGCTGTGGATCCCCGGGGATGTGTTATCTGTGTTTTTTCTGTCAGCCATCTCCTTGGAATGCAGGCATTCTCATCGTGGGTTAACATCAACACACAGCCACAGGAAGCAGAGGAGCCTGCTCCTGAGGAATTTATGGCTCTGTGACCAAATTTAATGTTTTCTTCCCTTTGAAGCATCCCCTGTTTTCAGCCTGTGAAACTTGGGGGAAGATGAGATTTATTTTTTTTAAATCACCCAGGTTTTTTCTTTCCCCTTGCATCTTTTTCTGTGAGGCTCAGCTTGCAGAGACTCCAGCTGCCTCTTCCAGAAATGTGATTTTTACATGGAAGTTGATCTCCCTGGGCTGTCTCCTGTGTTCCTTTGTGCTGCTCACAGTAAATATCAAACATTCTCCCTCTTTGATTGCAGCATGAAAGGCAAATCTATGCATTTAGGAGCTTGTCATGTCTCCTGTTCTCTGTGATGCTCGTGAGCCTGTCACTGGGAAATCTGGGATCAAAGGAGCTCTTTAGCTGCTTCCAGCAGTGTTGGAAACATCTGTCCAAACAAATTGGAGTTTTTCCTCCCTGCTTCTGACAGAATTTGAGTGCTGGGAAGCAGAACAACTATTTTTTAATTCATTTATCTAATTGTGGCAGTGATGCTGATGCTGCCTTTGCTGCTTTTCTCCTGCATTCCAGTTTTTGGGATTTTCCCCCCCTTTTGTGTTGCTCTGTTGGTTAGGGTTCCCCTCCTGCCCTGTATCTCTGTTCCCTGAAAGAGTTTGCTTTTCATTTGCACGTGCAGAGATCAATCCTGAATATTCACAGGAGCTGTTCTGCCCCAGTGTCCATCTGCCAAAACCAGGGAAGTGAAGAGAAATTCCCAGCTTGGAATCACAGGGAGTGTTGCCTTTATCCCAGCCTGGAAATGAAATCAGGGAAGTGAAGAGAAATTCCCAGTTTGGAATCACAGGGAGTGTTGCCTTTATCCCAGCCTGGAAATGAAACTTGAGATGATTTTAGTTAGGAGGTGATATAAAAGCAGATCTTTATTTGAAGGCCTTCAGGGGCTTTTGTGAGTGTCTTTTATATCACCTCCTTACTGAAGTTATCTGGAATTTCATTTCCAGCTTGGGAACAGGCAATATCCACCAAAAAAAAGGAGAATATCCACAGGCAGGACGAAACACTTAACATTTATTTTGGATTTTGAATTCAGCCAGTCAAACAGAGATCTGCAGATCCTTATTTGAAGGCCTTCAGGGGCTTTTGTGAACATCTTCTATCACCTCCTTACTAAAATTATCTGGAGTTTCATTTCCAGACTGGGAAAAGGCAACAGGAGAATATCCACAGGCAGGATGGAACACTGAATATTCCTTTTGGATTTTGAATTCAGCCAGTCAAACAGAGATCTGCAGATCTTTCTTTGAAGGTCTCCAG